TGTTTTGCTGCAGAACGTGGCCTTGGCCTCCGGGTCCATACAAGCCTTCGGAAGGTTTCGAACAGGCACACGAAAGAAACGGCGCTGTTTTGCTGCAGAATGTGGCCCGACCCCTTTGGGCACACACGAGCACTCGAGGGTCCATTTTTTTAAACTGGGATCCCCGGGCATAGTAGTGTTAGGTTTAGGGACTTATATAACGATTGTATATTATCGACAGTACTGTCAATACAAGAGTTATTAAGGAATACTTGTGTTCGGACATGCACCTACTCTGTAAACGGTTGTAATTATGTACCATAATTACCATTTACCTCTAGGTAAGACTAGAATGTCATTTGTTCACATTCCGTAACGGTGTAATACGCTCCTGTACGTGAGAAGGCTGAAGCTGAGCATTCAGGCTTAAGCTTAAAAGTTATCAGAAATAGTATCTCCTTGTTGTCCTCATCATTCCATACCCTTGAGGCCCATCCACTTGTGGGGTTTGTGCCTGCGTCGGATAATGCAGGGGAGAGCCTCCAAAGTTCGTTAAGTAAGCAATATCTCTGAAACGGTGGTGGGGGGGGGGGAGGGAATACGTAAAACTGAAAACAGGTGTTTTGGAGTCTCTGGGCAACATCCAAAAAATTCAACCCCTAAAGCCCACCTTGAACCAATGTAGAACCCGATCAACATCTAGTTCAAGCCGCACTCTGCTCTGCTCCCCTCCTTTAACAGCACATGGCAACTTTTGGCACATCGAAACTCTAAACCCGAAACCCTAAACCCTAAACCCGACATCCTAAAGCCTACACTAAGCCCTAAACCCCTGTAGCCCGAGACCCCCTAAACCCGAAAGAAGCTTAAACCTCCTAAACCGAGCCCTTATAAGCTCTCCAACCAAAGGCCCTAGGCCCCAAAATGCTAGACTTTCCAGGCACTAAACCTTGCAGCCTCGAAACCGACAAACTCAGGAGCCCTTTGAAGGACCCTTATATTTAGGGCTTTCGGGTTTAGGGTTTAGGGTTTAGGGGAAATACCATATAGAACCCCAACGCAACGGGATCCGCATCTACATACCCGAATGCCCGCCTCTGTCCCCACTGTAGGATTCGGGGCTTTAAGCCCCAAGGGAAGCATTCACGGAACCCTTTAAAGGAAGCCTCAAACGAACCCTGAAAGGAAGCGAAGCTGTTCAGGGTGCCAGGGGCGTAGGCAGACCCCCTCAGAGGCTAAGCTGGAGATACCCCGCACAGCGAAAGAGGCTACCGGATTTGGGGTTGAGGGGTGAAGGGTTTAAACGTTTAGGGTTTAGGGTTTAGGGGCTGAAGGGTTTAAAAGTTTAGGATTGAGGGTTTAGGATTTGGGTTTCAGGTTGCCGGAAGTCTCAGGAAAATGGGTTTGGTGGAATGGCTGATGTGTTTGTATTCAGGCTTCATTGGGCAGCCTGAGTCATTGTTTACCAGATTGAGGCATGATATTTCTCACTAAGGCCTACACCCCGCCTCGAATCCTACTCGAAAATACCTCAATCCTAGCTGCGAGAGGTCCTTACGGGCGCTCCCCAACAATGGCCAAACTTTGCAGTTCCGGCTTTTCGACTGAAACTTTCTCGCGCCACAAATGCTGAAAGCCTCATCGAGGACACTTGAAAAGGGTCCAGAGACTCCAACCACCTGTTTTTGCGAAATTTATTGCCGTAGATTATAGTAGGGATCGCTAACAAGGGATGATTTGTAAAGGGGTGTGGGAGTTCCTAGGCAAACAGTGCACGAGGTCTATTCCTGAATGTTGGGGCTGCGGATTGCTGGCAGATTGAGTAACATAAGGCCAGGGTCATCCCTAATCGTATTCCTTAAGGTTCCCAATGTGGGTCGTGTATCCATTGCCACCATATCAAACATCGAGATAAACGTAAACGGGCAGTACGCATGGCAGGGGGTGCTGGAAATTGTGCGGTATCGATTGCAGAGAATCCTGTGATGTGATGACAGCAAACGTCGTGTCGCGGTATTTGACACTTCTCACGACAGCAAGGGTTGCAACTTGGCAAGAGTGAACATGATGCCAGCAACAGAAGTAGCTACAGACACAGAGTAGCCGTAGTACCTCGGGTGTTGCTGGTGAGAAGATCACCTGCAGCATGCAACAGGACAAGAACAGACACAGAGTAGCCGTAGTACCTCGGGTGTTGCTGGTGAGAAGATCACCTGCAGCATGCAACAGGACAAGAGGGCCGCAGTAGCAGTAATGCTAGGAACATGAGAACAAGCCCAGTGTTATGGATAGCAGTGGCAGTACTCATGGTAGTCGCAGTAGGCATTGGCAGTAGCAGTGCTTTTTTTGCGTACCAGAAAGAGTAGAAGCAGGAGTAGAGTGGTAGCAACAGCAACAGCTATAAAGGGCGCGCGAAGTAAGTAACGGCTCTAGCTGCACGAAGTGGGTAAACAGACCAATGCCCTTCTAGCAGACTAATGGGGCAAGACAGCAATTGAACGGTATTCAGCTTGGTGGGAATCGCCGAAGTCGTCACATTGTCTGAATCTGTATATTCTTGGCACCTAGCCTATCGTCTGTGAAACTCCGACTCCTGCCAGGGTCAGTTGAGGGCGTAGGGCTCTTCGGGTTCAGGCTTCGAGGTTCAGTATGCCCCTGAGATCCAAACCGCCCTGCACCCAATGTGTTTTTCCTAGCACACGTTAGCCCGGTCCTTGGATCCTAAGTGCTTTTGTTCTCGTCTCTTGTGCTGCAGGATCCGTCGGAACCATCCGACTCTATGGATCACCAGCCATCTGAGTCGACAAGTGACTCTAATTCGATCTGCAACCAACTTTCAGTAGTCCGTTGGATGTTTGCTCATAACTGTGCAGCTCCATCAGGACATACAGATATGATCACTCAGTTAGGAGAACTGGACGGCCCCTTTTCTGGTGTGGACACGGCACGCCAAAATGGAGCTTGTGAGGTTGACCCCCCGAGGTCTTAATACCCGATTATAGGGTTCTTTCCAGAAGACATGCACCCAACCTCCCATATTTCTTGAGGACCACCTCGACCCGACGTAGAATGCAAGTAGGTTGTAGGTGGGTTAGTTACAGTTAGTTATGGGGTTATTATGGGGATGACACGGGGTACTAAGCATACTTGCTGGGTTTGGGGTTTCGGGTATCGGGTTTTGCAGCGTCCAGAGTCCTTAATATGGGGTCCTTAATAATCAGAATCGGTTTTCGGGTCCTTTATAGTATATGTATGATGTAGGTAACTATTTAGGCCCGTATAGTAGACTGTTGACTCTAAACCCTAAAACCCTAAACCCTAAACCGTGTAGTGGCGTTTGTATGACGGGCTCGGGGCGTTCGAGGGCATTGGGGTTTCGAACTGGTTCAACCGGAATCTGCCAAGAGTGGTTTAGGGTTTAGGGGTTTAGGGGTTCAGGGTTTAAATTTAGGGGTTTAGGGTTTGGGTTTAGGGTTTAAGGTTAGTTTATGATAGCGATCGTACAGGAATTGGTCTGTGTCATCCTCCACCGTAGACGCCCCATATCTTAAAGACCGACGCTCGGCAAGCTAAACCCTAAACTCTAAACGCTCACCCGTAAGCCTACACCCTGCCACTTTGCATGTCGTTCAGATGTGGAGGCGAATAGCAAGAATAGCCAACATATACAAGACTAAAAGCAAAAGCAGCATCAACAATGGCAATGTTAATAATAGCCCTAGCGATAGCAGTAGTAATCGTAATACGTCATGGTCATAGTGTTAAAAACAGTAATGGTAATAGTCATGGCCATACTCATAAGAACAGGAAGGGACAATGGGTTTTCTTCTTGCTCATCCCGGTATGCAGATGTAGGGAGTTTAGAATCAGTTTGATACGGCTTAGCGTCTGGGGTAGGCAGCCCTGACGTGTGGCATCTTCACAGAACACTACTATTTTCATTTTCTCTTTTTTCATTAGGGCTTAAAGCTTAAAGGGTCAAGACTTTCGAAGGCCCGTTCAATGAACCTGGATTGAAATTGCATGGTCACCATCAGGTTCAATTTCGAAATAGCTTTGGATCCCTCATGGATGATAAACATGTCCGCACAGTGCTACACCGCGACCATACTAATTGCAGTATCTGCCAGAAGGCTGACCTTATAAGCCCATGACTGCAAGCCTTCTTGCAAGAACTGTAGGTTTCAGCTTTAGCCTGCTGCCCAAAGGCCCAGCTGTCAAATCTTGGGAAACTCACACAGACCCAAATTACCCGGCGCTGCGCAAGCGATGGCGGTCGTCGACGTGTGCAAAGTTTTGCCCGGGCACTTAAATAGGAATGGTGCCAGGTTGGGTTGCCGTAATTTGGAAAAGCGCAGGTTCGGTCATAGTTAGGGCCTTTGCGATTTTAGGGTTTGTCGTAAGGTTGCTGCAATGTCAAAACGGGAGGGTTTAGACGCAGGGTTTTGCAAGGGTGTACGGTCCGGATCGTAAGCTGACACGTGAGGTCTGGCACTGGGAATAAGGAACATGCAGTGGAGCAATGGCAAGCATCTGTTTTTTGTGTTGCGGCCACAATAAATGGAACCAGGCCTGGAAGCTGTGCGATTTTATCCGACATATTCGAGTTTAGTTTAGTTGCGTGCGTCTACATATCGCTTTGCGACATGCGGTTTAACAGTGCTCCGTTTAAGAGCTTCAATGCTTCAGGGTCGGATGTGGTTTGCAGCAGTAAGGCATAATCTGGAAATGGTGCCTTTGAGCTGCGGTTTGCATTATAATGTGCTTGTTGATTGTACTATTATCGTGTCGAGGGTGGAAGTGAACCCAGCACCCAAAGTCATGCCCGAAAGCTTGCATCAGTTGCGAAGCCACAAACTCAAAGCCGTAAAATCGGGACCCTAAGTCTTCGTGACAGGACGCATGCACACAACCGACCATGTACGAAGCTTAAGTTCAGCCGAATCTTGGGTTTTTGCGCGAAGCCTACGAAGCTTTTCAGATCTCGAGAAGAGTTTACGAAACCTTGCAGCAGCCGTCCGCACCCCAATTTAGAACGCTTTGACTTTTCAAGCCTTGCACCAGCCCCAGCCCCAGAATATCTCTCGCCCGAAAGACCTACAAAACAGGCTACTCTGAAGCCTAAACATCACTGGACTGAACCCTAAAGGCCCGCAAAAAAAAAGGCCAGTGGTCGAGAATGCCTTGGATCAGATCTCCAGCTGCATGGCCCAACTTCAGGGCCTCCACACGCAGCTGCCTCTCGGATTTAAGGGTTCAGGGTTTGAGGGTTTAGGGTTTAGGATTTAGGGCTCAGAGGCTACTGGTTTAGGGATCCGGCCGTACCTGAACGTCAGTCTTCGGGGGTTCTGGAGAATACGGGTGTTGAAGGATCCCTTCGTCTTGTTAAGGGAGAGGGACAGGGGAGGGAAGGGAAGGGAAGGGAAGGGAAGGGAGGGGAGGGGGAGGGGGAGGAAAGGGAGCGAGGGAGGGAGGAGGGCGTTTCCACGTTTAGACCTGAAGTGAAGATGGAATGATGGGGCTGATCCTGGAAGGGATTGGGTGAACCCTAAACCTCTAAAGTCTACGCGACCGAACCCGACAACCTCAACTAAAACCTGAAACCCTCCACCCTAAACCCTACCCCGTTGCAGCCTAGAGTCTTAGGTGTGGAGCCCTAAACCCTAAACCCTAAACCCTAAACTCTAAACTTTCGCAGTCTTCGGAGGTTTTGGGGTCCCGGAGCTTCTTGCCGAGGAAGAGCCTGCAGGATCCGAATGATCCGAAGATGCGGCAAGCATCAGGCGAGACCCCGCCTTGTTTGGGGTGGTTGAGGTTTCTATGGGTTCAGGCTTAGGATTTAAGGTCTATCTGAGAGGAGATCTCGTTGTGTTGGGGGGTTTAAGGCTTGGGGTTAAAGCTCTCTGTTTAGGCCAGGCCCAGGGTTGAAGGTTTGAGTTTCAGTCAAAGGGCCTTAAAGGTGGCATCGCTCGAGTCTAGGCTTCGGACTTATTGCTTGGGTTTAGGGTGTAGGCTGTTAGGAATGGTGGTTTGCCATATTTTTTTTTGCTGGGTTTCCCTAAACCCTAAACCCTAAACCCTTGCTTTGGGGTTTAAGGTCAAGGTTTGGAGTCTTCTGGTCCAGGCTTGTGGGCTTCGGGATGTTTAGGATGTGTGCAGGCCTCGGCTTGGGACTTAAACGGTTTAGGGTTTAGTTTTTTGGGTTTAGGGTTTAGGGTTCAGGGTTCAGGGTTCAGGGTTTAGGGTTTAGGGTTCAGGGTTCAGGGTTTAGGTGTAAGTGCTCGGGCTTCGCGCTTGTACTTGGCCCGTGGAATCCCTCGAGCCCTACGAAAGAAGCTCGCAAAGAGCACGCTGAGCTCTTGATTCGACCCCAGCGTGAAACGCACCCTCCAAACATCCGATCATATACATCTATAGATGCAGTTGTGCGAAGTTTATATGTATATATATATATATATATATATACATACACATATATACAGACAGACAGACAGTTCCCAGGATGGGGAGTCGGCAATTCGGGAGGGGTTGAAGCTTGGGGGTTCCGTGGGCTCAAACTCTGCAGCTTCAAAGCAGGCCTGTGGCTGGAGTTTGAGGGTTTAGGGCTTAGGGTTCAGGGCCCCAAATTCTTCCTCCCTTCAGTCCTGGACCCTGATCCTTAAAGCCTTGGACCCCAAACCAAGCGAACCTTTTGTGACTTTGCGGTTTGGGTGTTTCTTTGGGGTCCTTTTTTGTTAAGTTCGGGGCTGCTGTTGAGGGTTTAGGGCCCAGAATTCTGGCTTTCGGGGCCCCACCTCGAATCCTTGAATCTCTGTTGGATTGCGTGACCCTGAACCCTAAGCTCGAAACCCGGGGTCCCTATCGGTTGGTAACGGGTTTAAGGTTTGGGGTTTGGGGGTTTAGGGTTTGGGGGTTTAGGGTTTGGGGTTTAGGGTTTAGGGTCTGGGGTTTAGGGTTTGGGGTTTAGGGTTTAACATTTGGATCGTACCGCGCAAGGATTGTAATGTAGGAGGTTAGTTGATTTGCAGCACTAGGCCACACGGTTCCAAGCCGTAATAAGAGTAAAGGCTACATAGGGTTGAGGGTTTGGTGCTTTTGGGCTTAGGGTTTAGTCTAACAAGCCCCAAACCCCTTATTCTAGTTGCTTGAGGCCCCTCTGTTATGACGGTTGTCCTGATCTTTAGAAAGGTTGGTATGGGCACTAGGATTTTTTGTTTTTTCCATGCTTGCTTTGAGGCTTTTTCTTCGGATAGTGTTGTTTCCAAGAACAGTCATACGAGGTTCTGCTACGTGTTCCCGTGGCATCAGAATGGACCCTAAACCCTAAACCCTACAATGGAGCACACGAAGATGTTTTCTCACCGGATAGCAGTGTGCAAAGCCGGATACCGATTCACTGCACCGATAGCTCCTGGGGCTGCGACTTCGTAGTTCGACTCGAGGCCCCGAAATCCGGAAATCCGTGCGCCCCAGTCCCAAATACGACAGTAGCCATCGGAAGTTAACTGCAAGACAAAATCTGGCGTCCACGTCTCCCCTGCTGACACATCGAGTTCAATGGGCGGACGTATGTCCGCAGATCTGTCTGGCCAAACACCAAATCCTAGAGTCTCTCTGTCTGGTCTGCTTCCTTTGCAGGCTGATGGTTTTTCTTCAGTGTCAGGCGTCCGGGCCGTTCTTTTTCCTCGAGTTTTAAGGGTTCAGAACCTGTATCGAACCGCAGGCCCTAGAAATCGGCGCATACATCCCTAAACCCTAAACCCTAAACCCTAAACCCTAAACATGCAATCTCGAAGCAGTGTCCCCGAACTTGCTTCCCTGCAGGCGAGTGCCCAGAAGTTCCAAGTTCCCAAGCAGGCCTTATCTTGTGTGATCTCTCACACCGCCGGGCTGCAAGTCATTAAAGTCTAAACTACTATATGATAAAGAGGTTTAGGGTTCAGGGTTTAGGGTTTAGGGATTATGGTCATGATCATGATCATCATCTTGATCATGGCCATGATCATGATCATCCGCATCACCGCCATCGTTGTCGTCAGACAGTCAGCATCATGATGAGAAGCAACAGTTGTCCTCATCGGTGCCAGTGCCATTGGCATGCTTATGGCCGTCATGACCATCATCATACCGTCGTCTTCTAGAGGAGTCTCTCTGTTTGTGAGATGTCCCATTTCCAAGAGTGCGCGTCTGGCTTTCGGGCTCTGCCCTGCACGGGCTTAGCGTTCAGGCTTTGAGTTTAGGGTTTAGGGTTTCCGTTCGTCCTTGGAGGCACTTCAGATCCGTGATGCTTCCGGCTTGAGCTTCTGGGGTATGCACAGGCTCTGGAATGACAGCTGCAGAAGCTGAAGTTTACGCCTTGAGTTTTATAGAGATTAGATCGAATCATGCTTCTTCTTCTTCTTCTGTTCTTGTTCTTGCGACAGGTTTTCCCATACAGGCGATGCTGCTTCTGACATTCGCAGTGCTGTCAGGAGTATTGTTCTTGCTGCTGCTACTGCCAGTGCAACTGCTGCACCTGCTGCTGCTGCTGCTGCTGCTGCTGCTGCTGCTACCGCTACGGCTATGCTACTGCTACTGCGAATGCTACTGCTGTTACATTGACTTCTAGCACTAGAAGTACTTGATGATGGAGCTCACTCCCGCAGTTTGTTCACATAGATCCCAGCGGGTACACGCTTACACCTGCCAGTCAAGAGTGATCATAAGCGTATACCCTTGTCCCGACACCAGCAAGCTTCATATCCTTAAGCCCTGAATCCGAAACACTGAGCCTTCGGTCCAAACCTCCTCAGGACCCGAGTCACTGCCACCCGGGCTTCCGCAGGCACAGGCAACCAGGACTCTTCAACCAGGCTGGGAGGGCCCTCGGGAAGAAAGTGACTGCACCCTGAGATCATCCGAGATTCATATGGGGAGTTCCGAAAATAGGTGACCCTAGTATAGTACCCTAAATAATAGGATCCCTATTATAAGGACCCCCAAATAAGGTGCCCTAATAAACTGAAACTCCCCTTTGGAGCCTTGGGTTTGCTGACCTGCGCAAGCTCCAGCCTCTTCCCTAAGCCCGAAACCTTAAACCCTCAACCCGAAATTGCGCGTTCTAGCCGAAGGCTTTAGTGGCCTAGGCGCTTGAATGTTGCGGAGTTGGGTTGGCAGCCTGGTGTTGCATCCTGAATCTTCGAGCGCTTCCAGCAATGTGTTCTCTTGTGCCTCAAACTCGCAAAACCCTAAGCCCTGAACCCTCAGCCCTAAGCCAAAACTCGTAAACCCAAGAGACCCCAATTTTTTTGCAGGCGCTGCGAGTCATGTTCCCGTGGTTCACACACCCCAAGCCCACTCGGGATGTCCATAGACGAGTCTTGCAACACTCTGAGCGAACTTGAGCCCCAGACCTTTTCCTGAGCAACCTCGGTCTTCCTGCCAATATAGGGGCCCTTATACGAATTAGAATAGGGTTTTGGGGGTAGAGTATACCCATGGTTATAATAAGGAACCCCCCCCCAAAAAAAATAGTATAGGTGATCAGTAAGGCCCCCACATCTTACGCCCATCTCACCTCTGCTGCTTAGATTTTCAGGCTCCGAGCTCCTGTTTCGTCAGGATGACACGAGCCCACTAGAACTGTTGTCGGTTTAGGGTCTAGGGTTTCGGGTTTTGGGATTAACCCTAAACCCTAAACCCTAAACCCTAAACCCTAAACCCTAAACCCTAAACCCTAAACCCTAAACCCTAAAACCTAAACCCTAAACCCTTTGGGGTAAACGCAGCCCAGGCCCGAGGGCGTAATGCCCGGCGGCCCGCAGCAAATCTGGATCCTCAACCCACTCGCGCACGGCAGATCTCAATCAAAGCCCAATTTCTTCCCTAAGCTCTAAACCCCTAAACTCTAAAC